CAAGAAATGATGTTATCCATGACCCAAAGTAAAAGTGACAATTAAATAAATGAGTTGATTCTCATCAAAATTAAATGGAACTTGAATAGCATTTTATTTTATTTCTATACTTGGCTCTGATGTTAAGGTTTACCTTAAATTTACAGAATTTCCTGCTAAAAATATATATGACCTGCATATGTTTCCATATGAGATTTAATAAATATATATGTACATTACGGCCTTGTTTGTGAGAGATTAAATTTTTCTACAGTAAATCAATTCTCATTTTCAACCACACATTCTTCAATAAAATAATATTTTCCATCACATCAATAATTTTTTCTTCTTTTTCTACCACATATTTTCCATTATATCACTATTCAAAATCAATTCTTCCTCCAAAAATCCCTACCAAACAAGTTCTAAACTTCGAGATGACAAAATGCACTGTTCCATCTTGCCGCACCTTTTGATCAGATTTTGCAGAATTACATTTATACCATTTCGACATTTAATACAATAATTTTGAAAGAATGACATTCATTGTAATTTAACTAATTTTGATACAAAATATTACGGTTCGAAGGGGCCACCTACTTTTCAACGATCTTAATTTTCCTTAAAATATGGTAAGAATTGGCGCCACACAAGGGCTTAAGATAGAAATATTAATAACTTTCATTTTTATTTTATATTGTATGACGATAGATGCGAAAACTATCAAACAAGGCGATAAAAAAAAATGTGCCAAGATATTTACTCTACTTAGAATAAACTTCAGTCACTTTTGTCTATACAAAATAGCATCTAATGAAAGCCAATCTAAAAGTAAAAGTGACAAAATGATTTACATTACAAATTTTATTAATTACAGCACAACATTACTAGACAATGAAAGACCTTAAATCTAAAAATTTATTGTCAAAAATATTTCATAAAACATTTTCCTAAAACACACTACTATCTTTACCCATTAAAAAAAATTCGTAAAAAAGGGAAAAATACATAATTACAAAAATTTAAAGATACGATTTCAACTTTAACAAACTTGAATTTATTTTTTTAAAAAAGCAAAAAATAAGGCCATAAATAGATAATAAAAGATATTAAAAAAGATTCCCCTCAAATCAAGGAATTAGTTAATTAAATATATTAAGTTACAATATCGTACAGTCAATGGTTACAATTACATATTTTTCACAATCACGTAGTGTCACTATCACATCTCACTAATTTTATCGGTCACAGCTATTTATCGATTATAAATTATTAAATTAATTGGTCACACGTTATTTATAGATTGCAAATCACAAATTTATATGTCACAACTTATCAAATTAATTTATCACAATTTATTTCTCGTTTACAACTTATTTTACGACTACGAATTATCACATTAATTGATTACAACTTTTTATCAGTCACAAAGACATAAATTATATGTTACAATTACGAGTTTAGTTACAAATCATACAATTTTTATGTTATATATTATTTATTTGTCAAAAAAAAAAAAATTTATTGATCACAACTACCCAATAATTGGACACAACCGCTCTTCATCCGACCTATTTCACCTTGTCACCATCTCCACTACCACCGATACTATAAAAAAAAATACAAATCTCTCTTCAGCAACAACACCACAGAGTTGCTACAACACCGCCACTGCCTCCAATCCATCACCATATCACCGCTGCCACCATCGCTACGAATGCAATTGCACCACCACACATGCATACAAATGGGTACAAACAAATCGGTCAGGCATTTTGCGCACATACACACACACACACCAAAAATCAATACGCACACATACAAATGAAAAATAAAAAGGAAAATCTAATGGAAGACTTGTGGAGAGCATAAGCCATCTTGTTAGTAAGAGCTTCGAAATCAATATGATTAGCAAAGGCTATGTCTAAAAATGATCCCAAACTTATCCAAATTGTATCTATTAGCATTGGTGTGCATCATCTAAACAACGCAGCAAGCCAGCCCAAAGGTCACAGGCTAGATGGAGCCACGACAGGCCAATTCATTTAGATCGTTGACCTTAGATAGGCCAGACGAGGGGATGTCAATATATTATTTATTTGTCAAAAAAATTTATTTTATTGATCACAACTACCCAATAATTGGATACAACCGCTCTTCATCCGACCTATTTCACCTTGTCACCATCTCCACCACCACCGATATTATAAAAAAAAAATACAAATCTCTCCTCAGCAACAACACCACAGAGTTGCTACAACACCGCCACTGCCTCCAATCCATCACCATATCACCGCTGCCACCATCGCTACGGATGCAATTGCACCACCACACATGCATACAAATGGGTACAAACAAATCGGTCAGGCATTGTGCGCACATACACACACACACACCAAAAATCAATACGCACACATACAAATGAAAAATAAAAAGGTAAATCTAATGGAAGACTTGTGGAGAGCATAAGCCATCTTGTTAGTAAGAGTTTCGAAATCAATATGATTAGCGAAGGCTATGTCTAAAAATGATCCCAAACTTATCCAAATTGTATCTGGTAGCATTGGTGTGCATCATCTAAACAACGCAGCAAGCCAGCCCAAAGGTCACAGGCTAGATGGAGCCACGACAGGCCAGTTCATTTAGATCGTTGACCTTAGATAGGCCAGACGGTGGGATGTCAATGGCAATGGAGATTGTGCATATGACATTGGGGTGGAATAAGAGGATTGAAGAATATATAGGCCAGACGAGGGGATGTCAATGGCAATGGAGCTTGTGCGTATGACATTGGGGTGGAATAAGAGGATTGGAGAATAAAGAGGATGGTGTGGATTGAGGCCAGACCATACCTATGATGATACGAAGTTTTTGTGGTCAAAATGATTGAAAGAGATGAGGATCCAGTATAAGGAGAAAGATCCAAAATATTATAATCTATATTATATTTTATAAAATATGATTCGCACCTGAATTTTGAAAAAAAAATAAAAATCTTAATGATATGATTAATAACAATCAAACTTAAAATATATGATTTTGATAATTTTTTCCTGAATTAAGTACTAACAATTTATATGAATCCAACATGGCCCATGTAGGCCCTGCGGCTTCCTCTATTGGTGTTGTATTGGCCCACATGGGTTCACTTCCACTGAACTTGGAGTAGGTCAAGGGATTGCTAAAGAGGTGTGACTTGCACACTATTAATGCAACGACCTAACCAACTAAGCTAATAAGCTTAGAGATGGTAATGGGACACGTATGAGACATGTCGATCATTCTCACTCCAGTTTTGTCGGATATTTTTGTTACTTTACCCTATTCACATACCCAGTTAAAGCGGGACCCTTGCCCCATTTATCGCCCCCATTTATTTTAAATTTTTTTATATCTTTAGTTAGTAAATATTATTACTTTTTCACTAATTGTTAAAAGCAACTTATGTTCTCTTTAAAAGTGATGATAAACTTATTATTTTTGTTCAATACAAAACTTAAAGTTGAAATTAATTTTACACGGGTGCCGTAGCGGGGCGATGACTATGTTTTCTGTATTGCCCCATACCCGATTCGGGGTAATAACTCTCACCCTATCCCCGTCCCTTTTACCCGGTTAGGCTGGTAATCCACACCCCCATTCAGGGAGGGGCCCCACAGGTATCGGGTTGAACGAGTTTTTTTATCATCCCTAAATAAGCTATTGGAAGTTATTTCCACAAAAAAGTTCAAAATAATATGAAGAACATGTTTGGTTTGAATTAAAATCCAATTAAAATTTCAAGTCAAAGTAAAAAATTTCAAGTCAAGTCAAAATGTAAATACAGGTTGTTTGATTGATGAGATTTTGATCCAAATTAAATCTCGTTACATCATTTGTTGTTAAACAATTATGTCCATGTTTGGTTCGGATTAATATCCAATTAAAATACCAAGTCAAAACCAACAATTAATTTTAACCAAATATTTCATGAGATCCACAATTTTTCAATCACACATTTCAATTTTTATCAAAATCTACTAAAAATCTGATTTTAATTTCTACCAGACAGAGGCTATATAAATTGGTTTATCATCTTTTTATAAGTTTAATACAAATTTATGTTGGTTTATTTTCGTATAAAATCTTCATCGAAAATTTGAAAAAGAAAATAGGAATGAAATTAAGCTTCTGTTTGGTATCCATTCTTTTTTTCATCCTCATTTTTCTACTAATTTTCAACCATACATTCATCAGTAAAATAATATTTTCCATCATATCAATAACTTTTCCTTCATTTTCAACCACAAAAAAAGTGTGATTTGATACAAAGAATACATTTTTTTCTAGAATAATGGTTACCAAACAGTGCCTAATTCATTAGGGAATAATGTAGAAATTTATCCACAAAATTAACAGTGACAATTTTTTAGTAATTTTCATAGAAATAAGTATTTGCTACAATTGTTGTTGATAGCTGTCACATAAATCCGTTTTCGATATTTACAATGGACTTGTATATGCCAATCAATCAAACGTTTCTCGAATATTTTTTTTAATTAACGATCAACTAAATGTTTCTCAGGCATTATCCGTTTTATATATTGTCGATAATAATAATTATGTGTAGAAGCATGGACTATTTGAAGGATGCGCCCATCAAATATAGGAGCAATCCAATATTTGCTGATATGTAAATAACATCGCAAGTCATTGAAGCCATTTTGTGTGTCAATATCATTAGATTGAACGACATGAGGCACCTATCATTTTAAATCGAGCATTCTTATCTTCATCGTGATGTTGTACTGCAAAACCACTTTTCCATCAATATCTTCATCAAAATGACTACAATACCCTTAATATTGATTAAAAGGAAGAGTTAAGAATAGAAAAATATAACATCTCCACCAACGTTAAATTCACCGATCATCAACATTTTACTATTTTTGCACAAAATCATTCATGGATGACCAAAAATGTCCATCTTTCTGTTAAATCCTCACATAACTTCAACGTGATAGAAAGTCTCCGTTTGGTTTCGCTAATAATGTGGATTAAAATTCAACTCAAAATAAATATTAAATTTTAATAATATATTCAATAGGATTCACAACTTTCCAACCACATATTTTATTAATTTTTATTAAAATTTATTAAATTGTGATTTTTATCTAAATCAAACGGAGCTATTAAAGCTTGTTTAGTAGAGATTAAAATCTAGCCGTTATTGTTGACTTTTGTTAGACGAGTGAGATCCAATAACGACTATATTTTCAATTTTAATTCAATTAAATTTTTTTTCAAACAAGCTCTAAATATAAAGTTCAAGTTGCACATCGTTCATTTTGAGGAAAATTTTGCATGTATCAAGTCAATATCAAACGTACATGAACGAGCCTTTTTGTGAGGCAACAGACAAAACACTTTTAAATCAATGCAGATGGAAACTTCCATTGAAGTCGACATTTTCTAGAATTGAAGCTTGTCTGGTTTAGCTATGGGTGATGCAAATTTTCCGGTTGTTGACATATTTTCTCTATTAATATTTTTATAATAAAATAAAATATCTTTTTGAAAGCCAATATACTTTTTCTTACCTAATAATGTCAATTTTAAATAGTTTTCACATTAAAGCATTGTCTTTATCGATGGTTAATTATAATTGAATTATTCTACTCGTACATCAAATGTTACATAATGTACAAGTGACCTTATGTAACTCTTGATGTACGTGTATCAAAACCCATTATAATTATAGTCAGTTCAACCGTTAGTCGACAAATGTAATCATTTTGATGACTTACTCGACCAACTTATCAATTATACTCATAACTTATCGAGTTGATGTATGCAAAAATGTTTAAGAATTGACCATTTGGTACCTAAATAGACATGCAAGGTATCTATTGTTTTAGGTTTTTGATGGGATAATTACTAAATTGTGCTATTCACAAAGTCAAAGGACCAACATGTGCTAAATATATAGTTGGAGGACCGAATTGAGCGATCACAACAAGTAGAGGACTAACTTGTGCATTCCACATAGTCGAAGGACCAACTTCCCATAGTAAGAGGACCATAATTTTCTATTCATGTAGTTCGAGGACCAACTTGTGTGATTCAGTTAGTCGAAGAACAAACTTATACAATTCAGTTAGTCGTTAGACCAACCTGTGCAATTCAATTAGTTGGAGGACTAATCTGTGCTGAACACATAGTTAGACCAATTTGAGCTAGGCACATAGTTGAAGAACTAACTTGCTTATCTACATAGTGTGAGGACCAAATAGTGTGCAAGCTTATCCAATTCGCAAAATTTCGGACCACTTGCACTAGCCACATAGTTGGAGGTGCAACTTGTATATCCAAATAATAAATTGTATATCATTAACATGAAAAGAAAAAGTCTACTGTCCATAAAATATGTTGTCATATGAATGATTCATTGATCTGAAGATGAGATTTAAATAAATTCATATGACTATTTAGAGTTTGTTTGAAAGGGATTAAATTCAGATTAAAATTGAAAATATAACTGTTGGAGTTGACTTTTATTAGACGAGTGGGACCCAATAACGACTATATTTTCAATTTTAATTGAATTTTAATCATTCCCGAACAAACTCTAACTATCATCTAACTAAAAATTGTTTGAAAGGGATTAAATTCAGATTAAAATTGAAAATATAACTGTTGGAGTTGACTTTTATTAGACGAGTGAGACCCAATAACGGTTATATTTTCAATTTTAATTGGATTTTAATTTTTCCCAAACAAGTCCTTAATAGTTCGTGTTTTTAGATGATCGGAGAAATAATCAACCAAGCAACGTCACACATCGATTGATTAGTAAGTTGATTAGCATGATATTAGATCTATATAAAGGATCTTGATTTGAGTTTTGCCACTATTTATCTCTTAAATAAAGCGCAATGTTAGGTTTTTGATTGGTAAATAAATATAGCTTTTATCGAGGAGTGCGTATTGATAATAACATTTACTTATATGTATTTAGTAGTTGTGTAGAAGTTAATTACGCTTTAAGTGAAATGTTGATGGTGCTTTTGACCATAAGTCAAAAAATAGAAGGACAAAGTGGAAAATTGAATACTTTCCACCTAATAAAGAATGATGGAGACATCTTAAATCGTTTTGACTTTCGAAATCAAATTACCATTATCCAATAATCGTTTGAAATTCTACTCAATTAATCGTACCATTATCCAATCCAACTGCCATTTTAAATTCTATTTAATTCCACGTTAAATTTTGTTCATTTCCATATATATAATTATAAATAATTCATTTAAAATTTTAATACGTGCTTTGTAGGTAGAATAGACTTATAAGCCGTAGACAATGGAGGTATACGAGTAATACGTATGATGTAAGTGTGAGGTCTACGAAATGTGTAAATAAAAATATTCGATCAACCTAAACGAAATTTATACTTTGCCGAATGAGTAAATAAAATGTACCAAACGTGCTATAGAATTTTAGTAATAGTGAAAGCTTTATATCGGAATTTTAAATTTAGTTAGAAATTAAATTTCCAGTGTCACTTTTTGTATACTAGGAGCCTGTTTGGGAGGGATTTTTGGGGGTATAATTGATTTTGAATAGTGATATGATGGGAAATGTGTGGTTGAAAAAGNTGAGTTTGAATAGTGATATGATGAGAAATGTGTGGTTGAAAAAGAAGAAAAAATTATTGATGTGATGAAAAATATTATTTTATTGACGAATGTGTGGTTGAAAATGAGAATTGATTTACTGTAGAAAAATCAAAATATCTCCCAAACAGGGCCTAGATTTAGATGCGAGGGGAAAGCTAGAAATAGTTAGCTGTATATTCATCAGTTGATTAGGCACGTCATGAATAAACATATTAAATTTGAATAAAAATTGATTAATTATATGGTTGAAAAAATGATAAAAATTACTTATAATTGAAAATGATTTTAAGGAAAAATGAGTTTTTAAAGAAAGAACATATTCTTGCGTTAAATAATCAAAGAAATTTTAAGATAAACTATTAGAGAAAATTTCATATTTAACCCCTAACCTTCATAATCGAACTTATACATACCCACTCTCTCACCAATTACAAATTTCTCTCTATTTTTTGTTATTTTGCTATCCCTTTTATTTACTAATTTTTTTAATTAAATTTAATCGTAATAGACTTGAGTTAATTTTATCCTCAATTTAATTCTACACATGAAGAATTTAAGCAATAAGTTATCGTTTAACGTTCAACAATGACACAAAAAAAACCCTTCAATTTCAACATGAAACTAAAGTTGGGTATCGAAAAGTTCAATTTCAAAGGTTAGGACCATGGTTCCACTGATACAAAAGATCAGGGACTAAACATGTAATATATCTAAAATAGGTAGGATTTATTATCTAAAATAGTACACAACGTGGGTCCCACTGGGAGGACGTGGGTGCAAACAGATACCTAGGCAGTGACGCTGTTTTAAGTGCACTGTCCTTCACACCTTCAAACCACACTGTCTTGTTTCTCTCTCTATAATCCAGGGCGTTAAAGCGTCAGTTTTAGGGTTTCTAGCTACTGCCCTTTGAGGCTTCTTCTTCAACTTTAGGTATGTGGATCTTTATCCATTCGAGTACTTTTCTATGGGCCGTTTTCTTGTAAATTTCTGTAAAATTGTTTATTTTGCTGCATTTTGATGAAATCTGTTGATTTCTTCAAACTTGAGTTTTTATGGGTTTTTAAAGATGTTTTTGTAAGAATCTGAGTTTTTCTCTCTCTCTCTTGAAACCTAATTCATGGCGTTGAAAGCCAGTCAGTTTTAGGGTTTCTTCGTTCTCTGTTTTTTACACCATCTTCTTCTCAAAATCTTGTCTTTTAGGGAAAATTACTGTACACTCGAAGCCCATTTTTTAATTGTGATTTTGTGTCAAATTTCAGGGTTTGTTAAAATTGACTTTTTTTTTTGCTGCATTTTTGTGAAATCTGTTCATTAATTTTGTTAAATACCGTGATCAAAGCCGATTTTTACGCTTTCTGTTTTGTGGATATTAAAGGCAGTAATAGTTTTGAGTTTTCCTCTCTCAAAAGTCTTGATTTTTAGGGTTTTGTTTCTCCCTTTAGCGCAGCCAGTTACATTTCCATTTCTTCTCTTACGCCCTCGGAGTTTTTAAGGCATGTTTTCTTGAAATCCCCTAGATTCCCACTTTTTGGGCATTTTTGCTATTTTTTTAAAACATTTTACAAACAAACTGCTTTTATAATTTGTCGCATAACTTGATCTTCTTAAAACTTGTTTCGAATTAGTGGGTTTTAAAGTGTTTAATAAGATCTTTCTGTCTTTTTGCTTTTATTTTCATATATATATATATATATATATATTATAAAATGCGTAGCTATTTTCTGATTTACTTCGATCTTTCTTTACTCTCGCCAGAAATAGTTTTTGACTAGTTGGATTTGGTCTCATGCAATTTGATTCTTTAGTGTCAGAGGAAGCCGTTCTTTTTTGTTATTTATTTTTGTCGGTGGAGGATATTTGTGTCTACATAAAGTCAGCTTTTTTTAGCTGCTTTCTTTACAATACTTATTTATTTTTATTTTTGTGGGCTTCTCTCTGTTTTTCTGTGTTCTATCATGCATGCGCCATTTTGATCTATTTTTTCCCTTGCTCTGGTCATGGACTAGTTTATGCTTGTTAGCTGTTTAGATCTGCTTAAAATCAGATTTTTAGCTGCTTTTCTTGGCTATTTCTTTTGTTGGTTGCTATCTTGCTTTCCAGTATACTGTCATATGTATGCTCCATTTTGGTCTGATTTTTACCCTTGTTGTTGTCATGGACTAGTTTATGCCCTGTTAACTGTGTTTCTTCAAGTTCCCCGGGTTTTTACCCTCCTATTTTTCTCTTCGTTTTGGTTAATTTTACATATAATTATAACCGAACTTATCAGTTGTTGCCAGACTCTTAGAATCACTTGGTGAAGCTTTTCTGAGAAATCTGACAATGGATCCCTCCGAACAAGCTCATAATGGGGAACAAGAGCATAATGGGGTTAAGGAGCCTGAACAAGAACATAATGGGGCTGCAGATCCTTTGCCGCCTCCCCCGCCTGTTCCTCCAAACGTTACTCCAATCAAAGCGGAATCAGAACAGGCAGTAAAAAAGGTTTTCCGTGCTCCAATGGCTAGACGAGGCACGGGGACCAAGGGAAATAAGGTTCCTATTCTGACTAATCACTTCAAAGTGAATGTCTCCAATGTTGATGGGCACTTCTTTCATTACAGTGTACGTCTTTGTGCCCACAATCTTTGCTCTTCTCTATTTTGGTGGTATTGTAACATTTTTTACTTAAGAATGTCTGGCTTACTTGATTTGCTTACCCCGATCGTGTTTCTTCTTAGGTTGCCCTGGCCTATGAAGATGGTCATCCTGTAGATGGGAAAGGCGTTGGAAGAAAAGTGTTGGACAGAGTCCACCAAACTTACGATACTGAGTTGGCTGGCAAAGAATTTGCCTATGATGGGGAGAAAAGCCTGTTTACTGTAGGCGCACTTCCGCGAAACAAACTCGAGTTTACTGTTGTGCTTGATGATGTTACTTCAAATAGGTTTGTCACAATATCTGTCGGTTTAACTTGTTTTTAATGATATTTGATGTTTGTGTCGTTTTATGCTACTACATGGTTTGTATGCAGGAACAATGGAAATGCTAGTCCTGGCAGACCTGGAAGTCCTAATGAGAGCGACAAGAAAAGGTTAAGGCGACCATATCGATCCAAAACTTATAAAGTGGAGATAAGTTTTGCTGCCAAAATCCCCATGCAGGCGATTGCAAATGCCTTGCGCGGTCAGGAATCTGAAAACTCCCAAGAAGCCTTGAGAGTTCTGGATATCATTTTAAGGCAGCATGCTGCAAAGAAGTAAGTTGTACTTCTAACTTGAAGTGGTGGATTATTTCAGACTATGCTAAAATGTCACTTTTCTTGAAAGTAAGCCAAGACTTAAGTTTTAATAGTTTACTTTCTGAAAATGTAATTTAAAGAGTAAAATATGTAATTTTGGCGGAGTCTCACTCGTCTCTTGAAGTTGTTGTGACATGAATAATTGACCACATGCTCGATGTCAGGGGTTGCCTACTGGTTCGTCAATCTTTCTTTGACAATAATCCGAGGAATTTCACTGATGTTGGAGGAGGAGTTCTTGGCTGTCGTGGATTCCACTCGAGTTTCCGAACCTCTCAGGGAGGTTTGTCTTTGAACATAGGTAATACTTTTTTTGCATATTTTCCCCTCATCGTTTTTTATTGATGTTTTATAATTTCGTTGCAATTGTTTGATTACAATGTTATCCATTTTTATGTTTTCAGACGTATCCACGACTATGATAATTCAGCCTGGTCCTGTAGTAGACTTTCTTATTGCGAACCAAAATGTGAAGGATCCCTTTTCTATTGACTGGGCAAAGGTAAGGAGCTATTTCATATTTCATTTAGGCAGTTGTATGTGTTTAATTGAACCACTTCTTTAACCAAGAGTGCTTTCTCATTGCAAGCAAAATCTACTACAATTTGAACTCCTCAGGCAAAACGTGTCCTAAAGAATTTGAGGATAACGACGAGTCCTACTAACCAGGAGTACAAAATTACTGGATTAAGTGAGAGGCCTTGCAAAGAGCAATTGTATGTTTTATCTGTTCCATTCAATCTTTTTGTTTTTTTTTTCACCGTTCTGGTTTCCGTTGTTTGGCATGAGTCTGAAGTAGTTCTTTTTCTCAAATTTTCAGGTTCTCACTGAAGCAGAAAAACAAGGATGATGCTGGTGAAGCTCAAACCACTGAAGTGACTGTCTATGATTACTTTGTTAATAGCCGCAATATTGATTTGCGCTATTCTGCCGATTTACCTTGTATCAATGTTGGCAAGCCAAAACGTCCAACTTACTTCCCTATTGAGGTAAGACCTTGTAATAAAATTCAATTTTTCTATATTATGCATTTCTTATTGAGTTTATTAATGATCGATGATAAACACCACTGATCTCTGGAAAACAGGAGTTTAATTGGTTTGCTTTTGTCCTTGCAGCTATGTTCCTTGGTGACCTTGCAACGGTACACCAAAGCTCTCTCCACCTTTCAGAGAGCTTCTCTTGTGGAGAAGTCACGTCAAAAGCCGCAAGAGCGGATGTCAACTCTGAGCGGTGTACGTTATTATTTTGTAGATGTATGATTTTATGTTGGCTTTGATTAACTGGTGTTGGGTTGTGGCAGGCTTTGAAAAGTAATAACTACGATTCGGAGCCTCTGCTTCGTTCTTGCGGCATTTCTATCAGCAGTAACTTTACACAGGTTGATGGCCGTGTTTTGCCAACCCCGAAGGTATGTTTTTGTGACATTATGCTTTATAGTTGTATCTCCATATCCTTTTTATTGTAATCTTGTGTTAATAAGGTGTGTGGAAAGGTTTCAACCTATCTTTTATTTTCTATCTGCAGTTGAAAGCTGGAAATGGAGATGATATATATGCAAGAAATGGAAGGTGGAACTTCAATAATAAGGTTTGCCTTGTGCTAATCTGATATAGATGTAAATTAACATGCCAATTTCTACTATTCTTTTCACTTTAAAACACATTTATATTGTTGGACAGAAATTTGTTAATCCCAGCAAGATAGAACGATGGGCTGTTGCCAACTTTTCAGCTCGCTGTGACGTACGTGGCCTTGTCAGAGATTTGATTAAAGTTGGAGAAATGAAAGGAATTGTATGTTCTGCCTGATTCTTTCGTGCTTACGAGTTACTGTATGAAATTTATTTGGTTATCTATTTTAATTCTTCCATGCTGTCTTCAGACTGTGGAGGCTCCGTTTGATGTCTTTGAAGAGAACCCACAGTTCAGACGGGCTCCACCACTTGTTCGGGTAGAAAAGATGTTTGAAGAAATTCAGTCAAAGCTTCCTGGGGCTCCCAAGTTCCTTCTCTGTTTACTTCCGGAGAGAAAAAACTGTGACATATACGGTTTGTCAACAATTTTTTGTTATTATAAATTATGCATAAAAATTAGAGACATCTTTTAAACCTGCACAAAACTTTTTAGGTCCATGGAAACGTAAAAATCTGGCTGATTTTGGGGTCGTTACTCAATGCCTTGCTCCCACCAGAGTTAATGATCAGTATCTGACTAATCTTCTTTTGAAGATCAACGCAAAGGTAATAGATACTCAATGAAATTGTGTGTTGTGTTAAATATTATGAGATTTTGTTTGGATAATTTCAAATTTTTATCTTTGTACCTCGCCGCCTTGTGTTTTTGCAGCTTGGTGGCTTAAATTCTATGTTAGCCATCGAACAAAATCCGTCTATTCCAATGGTATCCAAGGTTCCATCCATAATTCTTGGGATGGATGTGTCACATGGCTCCCCTGGGCAGTCTGATATCCCATCCATTGCTGCGGTGAAGTGCTCCCTCTCTCGTGTCTGGTTGATATATAGTTTTTATTTTTTCTATATTATCTACTTATTGCAACCTGCTTTTGTGTTTACGTTTTAAACAGGTAGTCAGCTCGAGGCAATGGCCATCGATCTCTCGTTACCGAGCTTGTGTTCGTACTCAGTCCCCGAAGTTGGAAATGATAGATTCTTTGTATAAACGTGTGTCCGACTCTGAGGATGAGGGAATAATCAGGTGAGTTTTTGTCTTGGGTTGGCATTATTAAAGCAAAGCCAGTTTCAGCAGCCATTTGATAGGTCGAAGTTTTTTGACTATGTAAAATCAACTAATTCGATCATGATTTGAACTGCAGGGAACTTTTGCTAGATTTCTACGTCAGTTCTGGAAAAAGGAAGCCTGATCAGATAATCATATTCAGGTAATTATAAATATATTATCGATCTCAAGCACATTTGATAAGTTATTCATAAAGCATGTTGTTATCCGCTATTGTTTTTAGTCTCTTTTGATATCATTTAATCATGTCTATAAATTGCACCACAAAAAGGTTTGCTGATTGTTACTTTTCCCCCATGTGCAAAATATCAGGGATGGTGTGAGTGAATCACAGTTTAATCAAGTTCTCAACATTGAATTGAATCAAATTATAGAGGTAGTCAGACTTGTCATATTTAAGATGAAGTTTAAAATCTTCTTGAATTTCGAACTAGATTAAAGAGAGTTTTTGGGTTTTCAATCTTTCGTTTCATTGCGCAGGCCTGCAAGTTTCTAGATGAGAAGTGGTCACCCAAATTCGTCGTAATAATTGCACAGAAGAATCACCACACAAAGTTCTTTCAGCCGGGGTCCCCGGACAATGTGCAGCCAGGTAAGTAATATATATTGATCGTGCAAAATATATTCGGGAAATTATTATTTGTATTTACCTAAAAGAGTTGCATGGTGAAGGCACATCATTCCATTGACTCCTACAACATTATGATTTTTCAGGAACGATAATTGATAACAAAGTTTGTCATCCCCGAAACAATGACTTCTACCTGTGCGCTCATGCTGGGATGATAGTAAGTGTTTTGCATAGCTTCTTGTAACTTATTTCTTTAGTAGTGAGAACAAAATTTTTAATACCTATATTTTTCTGATATGATTGTCATCTCAAAGTTGTATGGACTTTACAGGCTTGGCTAGTCAAGTTAAATGACTAAAATTTACCATATTTTAAGCATGTTTTCTCAATATCTAGGTGTAAACCATTAATAATATGATGTTAGAACTGCAGTATGACTATCTGCCTGCTTCTTTGGTAAATTAGGAATTTAATTGGGCTTTATATTGTTGATGCCTTTAGAAGTTTTACCTCTACAACTTGTGGATTAGAATGCCATCCACATTTGCTAATTTTATCCTTTGCTTATTTCAGGGGACGACCCGACCAACTCATTACCATGTTCTGTTAGACGAGATCGGTTTCTCACCAGATGATCTACAGGAGCTTGTGCACAACCTTTCTTATGTGTAAGTGAATTATTTACTACAGTTAATTCACTCACCAAGTTGAAACAATATAAAGTAGTTGATTTGTAATCGCATTTTTCTTTATTCCAGTTACCAGAGGAGCACTACTGCTATATCTGTCGGTAAGACAAGATTTTAACTTCATTAGACAAGAACCTTGTCTTTTTACGAATTTTGATTCCAAATTCATCTGTGCCTTTGGGTATTTCCTGATTTCATTTTTCAAAATTTTACTCTTCGTTTGTGCTCAACTGCAGTTGCTCCTATCTGCTATGCTCATTTGGCTGCTACCCAGTTGGGTCAGTGGATGAAGTTTGAAGACGCATCAGAGACATCATCCAGCCACAATGGGGCGGCACCTGCTGGAGGTGGCCCTCCTGTGCCACAGATGCCTAAGTTGCAGGAGAGTGTCCGTAATTCAATGTTTTTCTGTTGATGCGTAGTTATCCCTGCTCGGCTTATGTATAAAGACGACTTTGGCCGTAGTTTATGTCTAGTGACTTTGCTCTTAAGTTTATGTTTCGTGTTTGATCATGGACGGGTCTGAACTGGGTAGTCTGCGTGTTTATATCCTTGAGCTAGTCATCCATACACTAGCTTGATTTTCCATGTAGGATGCTTATGTTTTCTGAACTCTCCCGCGGGAACGGCTTGTGGCAGTTTGCCTAGTACTATTTTCTGAAGTAGGATCTTTTCTGACGTTTTGAAATCATGCTCTTGCTACTACATTTCACTCTTTACCAACTCTGGCAAGTTTTTGCAGGGATAGAGGCTATTCTACTTTTCATAACTGAGCTCCTTGTTTGTGCATGTTTGGGTGAGCTTTTAATTAGCTTGCAAAATGGGTTTCTACCTTTCATCGTCTGTAATGGAATCCCTGTGTATTTTCATCGTCTGTAATGGAATCCCTCGTGTATTGGCTCCATACCCGATTTCATGTCCCTCGACCATTTTCATTTTGATCGGTAAAGATTTACTAGTTCTTTGATTCCATTTAGCAAGAGGAAACCGAATAGGTCATGAACGCTAATGTTAGATTCAAAACAGTCGTGCGAAACATAGTCACGAGTTCTACTGAAGAACAACTGAGTATACATTCGAAACAAAACAGTAGTTGTGCAAACAAAATTTGAACTCAGTTGGACAATGACTCGATGGTCTTAGAAGCGTATTTGGATTTGTTGACGCTTGACTCCTGGAGTCGCTCGGTGCCTATTGGTTTGTGGGTCGTTCTTCAACGATGATCCAAGGAACTTCGTTGATGGTGGAAGTGGGGGTCTGGGCTGTCGAGGGTTTAACCAGAGAAGTTTGAGGCGAACCATTATGCATCGAGTTACTTTGGGAGTAGCCAAGAATAACAACCCCAAAATCCGCTTCCAATTAGCTTGACAGTACAAGTGATTCGTCATAGTTAAAGAAGGAACTTGGGCGTCTCAGCAAGTTTTTGCACAAAAGTGGACATATAGGACTAGTTTGTAAGGATAAATAGTATCACATCCCCCTTTTTATTAGAATAGTTATATATTTTGAGATTAAAAGGGTTAACAAGCAAATTTCATGATCGATAATTTATTTGGATAATGCAAGACATATTCTTGACTATGATAATAGAATTCTTCCACATGCAGAAAATTTTTTTACAGAAAAATTATAGATACTCACATAGGCATGTGAGTAAAATATTGAAAAAAAAAAAAAAAAAA